CTTCATTTTGACCATTCACATAAAGATGCCAACTATACTACAGGGAATGATTTTGACCAAGTATTAAGAAAGACAACTAACATGCTATATAAATTAATCTCTTCTTTATAATATGTTGGAAGACCTTGGTCTTTTGGATGACCTCTTCCACTAACCTCTTCAAAAAACTATCTATTTGAAATAAGGAAAGCTCTATTCCATTGCTGAGAACATGATGTGTTTTGTACTCATGAGAATGTTACTATGTGTTTCTTGTTTGTAAATATATGTTTGAATGAAATAGTTGATGAAATATGTTTTCCTTGTCCTTAATGAGTTGAACGATATGTGTGTTGAATATATATGTATGCACAATTTGGACTGAGTCTAAAGGTGTCCAACCTTCAGCATGATTGATTGATACATGACATAAAGAATGAACTTGAATAAAATAGAAAGAGAAAAGGATGAAAAATTATGTTATCATGAAATTGACAAGTTTAGGTTACAATGAGAAATGAAAAAGAGTAGATTCATAATGAGAAATGAAAAGTGATAAGAATAAGTGTGGATAGTTCAGAAGTATATTGGAGGTGTGGAAGATGAAGGCGATTTTGGAAATCTTGGGAAAAAGAAGGTGATGGATGCTTTTTTTTAATTTGCACATAACTAATGAGAGTAAAAGTACCACAGGTCTCACACTCATTTTCTCCCATAAACTCTTGATCATGTTTTTGCTAAAAGGAGCCGAGTTGGCACACGTTATATCTGTGTTGCTGTGGCTATCCATCAACTATCTATATTAAAGAAGACCTTAAGGGATCCTAGGGGCCGTGAATGATTGAGATAAGAAATTTAAGAATGTTATGAGTAACAATATAATGAAATTATGAGATTAATGAATGTTAAGTGTATATGAAATTGATGTAAAATGTGTTTTTTATTTTTGAATGTATGGTGTGTTATTCATTATGTGTAACTTGACATTATTATTATTACTCATGTTTAGTAATGAGAAAAGAGACTAATCTTTACTAAATATTTCAGGAAAGCAAGATGACCACTCTGTAGAGAAACATTAGAGTAAAGGGAGGATTTATAATTATTATGTTACATTTGGTATTTAGCGAGTGGTAGCGGTTCTATCATTGTAAGTTTTGTGACACTTAGGCACTAGGCGAGGGCGAGAAGTGATTACCGGTGCAATGTGGCACGGACAAAGAGCGGCTACCTGACAAACTTTCGGCATTAAGGGGCACATGAATGAATCGAACATACACCGGAATGAGAGAGATCCAGAGGCTATGTAGGTATGGGACTATACAATTAAGGATAACTCAAAGGAATTGATTAGGACTACCTTTACCAACAAAATGCATTTACTTTTTGATGACCTACCACTTAAGAATTCCAAGCTTAACTTAGAGAAATTATGCGATGGGTGACCTTTTGGGAAGTTCTTGGAAAATGTGTGAGTAATGACAAAGCACATTGAAAAGTCTTGTGTTGGTTTATGGGTGACCTTTTGAGTATCCTGTTCAGGGTAGGATCCGACACACACTCAACCTGTATATATATCAAGAACGGTTCGAATGTCAAGCGCGATGAATTACTTATATACCTTTCTCGATCATGACCATATGGGACCTATACGGGTAATCTTGGCGATGATGAAGATCTGTCCCCAGAGGAGTTAGCTAAAATAGAGGGTTGGTTTGGGGATGACAATTAGAATTATCTCAATATTTTGGTGGTGTGAAGATAACTACTCATTAGGACTAGGCTATTTTGATTTCTTAATGTATTATGAAATTACGATTTGTAATTATGAAACTCTTGTATATTAACGAAGTTGGTATATATTATTTTAATTTTAGTTTAAATTTATTTATTTTTTATAATTTTACTACTGGAATATTTTGTAAGCCCGAGTGATATAGATAAAAGTTTTAAATTTTTTAAACTTTGCATTATGAATATAAATAAATTTATTTTAATTTTTCTTTTTAATATAATTTTTTTTAAAATTGTATAAATAAAATAAAAATGTTACATTACAGACGGTGAAGCACGTATATAGCCTAGGCACTTTTGGAGGGAGATATGAATGGGTTGATTCTGATTTTCTCTCTCTGAATTCTTGTGATTTTGTTCATTTCGTTTTTATATAAAACTACATTGATTGTAGTTTTCATTCCATGTAAGAAAGTTCATACACTTACATAATACTTACATGATACATTTCTTTTGTCATACCATTCGACTTTGATTGTTATAACGCAAACCCACTTAAATAGTAGCTAGGAATAAGATTTGAGATAATCTTAGAATTGTCTATAGCTTTGTCCTAGTATCAATACCAAATTCCTTTAGCATTGGCATTGAACAAAATTCTTGAAATTCAATTCTTGGTCTCCCTTCACAACCTTATCTCTATAAGAAGATCTTGAATGATTAATTTCTACTGTAGGATGATCACCTGTGAACTTTGAAACTTCAATTTTCTCGTATGTCACCAACTTCAATTTTCTTGCCTCTAGCTCCTAAGTTTTGTTCATCCAAGAGTTTCTCTTGCATAATTTTTTATTTAAAACTTTAACGGTTATAGAAAGTCTATTTTATTATATATTAAAGATAAAATATTATATTAATTTTTAATCACATTATATTTAATTAAAACATTAAGTATTTATTCAATAAATTTAAAATAAAAAATTATTAAATTACTACATCCAACATATTAAAATAAATATTTATAGTTTCAAATATTTTTAAAAAAAATATTCTGACTAACCTCTTAACTATTGAAAAATTTGTATTGCCTCTTTCGTGTAGTCATCGTTTTTATTGTCATAATTTCTAATCTAAAATCAAATTTTAATTATGTTAATAAATTCTAAAATACAAATTAATAATTTTAATTTTATTAATTACAATTTAGATTTAAGATGAATATTATTTTAAAAACATATTTATTTAAAAAAATGTGGACTGTGGCCCGCAGACTAGCTTGTTTTGAACTTGGATAGGTTTAGACTCCAACAAATCAAACTAAAAGGTTTATATTTCTTTGAATATTTAATTCTAATGCTCATTTTTTAGTTCATGACTCTACTCACGGTTAGGTTTTAATTGAGAATAAACTTTAAATGTGTGTTTAAAAATATATTAAAAATCTGAAAACGTAAATTTAATACACAGTTTATAACAAGTTACATTAAAGTAAACATTGAATCTATTTGTATTTAAACAAGAAACGAATCCTACTGTCAAAGTATGTTTGAATTTACAATTTTTTTTAAAAATAAATCCCATTGAGAAAAGCTTTCACATTTTAAACTCACAGTGGTCCTAAATTGGCTATAAATGGTGCTGAAAAAGTACATATAAAGCATGCACCGCAAAACCAAACTCACGTTAAGGATTATCAATAAAAAAATACATGCTATCTTTATCTCCACAAACCGAACACAAATGCAGTGACGACAACATAGCATCTCAAGTTCATATTCCATCGCTTCCTGTTGCTTTGTACCCCAACAAATAAAAAACAAAAATCTTCCTAATATTGCACTTAAACGTTAAATTAAATCAAACCCAACTTCATTGTATTTTCTTTTGCCAAATGGTATTAAATATTACCGGCATCCATCTTGTCAGCACCGTACATATAGCGGTTAATGCCAACATATAATAGTAACGTGTAACGAGCACATTAAAGTTCAGAACATCTTTCTTTAATGGTTTCCTCTACTCATTGCCCGATCGAGAAAGCTATTATGAAACGAACAAACAAAGCAACGTTCATATTTGCAGAACGGTGCTGCAAGTGGGCTTTTATCATTATTAACGAAACGATGGCCAAGGCACTGTGTGCAAAACCGAAGAAAAACAAAATGGATTAAGATCAATTAGCAATAAATACAGAACATAGACAGGAACTGAATTTCATGAGTATCTTTGTCTACATTATTTTAATCGTAGACAATATCTTGAGCTTGATTGCGCTGACTCACACACTAACTAGGCACATGATAGGGGCATATTTTTTTAGTTTTAGTAAACTAAAAATTTTGTCATTTGAATATCTAAAATTTAATATTGTATCTAATGTTATATATATGATTATATTTTTTTTATATACACTTACATTAAAAGTACTCTTCAATATCGAAAAGGAACACAAAATTATCTCACTTTATGTAAAAATATAATTTTCAGATGACCAAATTACCCAACATTTCACCCTTATGCTGGATCCTTTTCCTATATATTTTAACTGCAATACCACGATATAATGACTAGGGTACTAAGTGTAGCAGCCTTTGAACCACAAGTGGTGTACTGGGCAGTGATCGAATTCGAAGAGTGACAACAAAAGAACACAGAAACCGAAAAGGAAAAAACAACATAAAAGCAAACAAAAAGGACAAAAATGAGCAGTGCGTGGTTGCTCCAGTGAATATTTTTTCTCTCAAATGCATTAAGCATTTTCATCTCCAATGCTTTTACCATGACTTCAAGAAAAAATGAAAATTATAAGAAAGAAAAATAAGCGTAAAAAACATTTATTGCACTCAAGTTTTATATATGTAAAAAGAACTGTTATTCAGCATAAAAGCCAAAGAAACCATTTATTCCAGGAAACTTCATTCGCATTTAAAAGGGGCATTTCTGATATTTTCCCATAAACAATGCCTTAACATGGAAACTGAAGACAAAGAATAGCAAACGATTCTCAACTCGGCCATCACAAGCACCCGGCACGCTGACTCACTCTCAGTTATCACACGTTTATATTCGCTGCACCAAAATCTCGCGTCCCGAGATCTAGCCACGTGGAATTCACGTCCTACGTGTCCACGCTCCTAGCTTTCGCTTTTAAACGCTCTTTCCCCTCTCATGTATCATTCATTTCCACTGTTCCACCAAACCTAACGGAAAAAGAAACGCACATAGAAGAAACACTCTAAACTATCGCTTCTTTGATCTGTTTCTCACAAGCTTCTTCAAGTTCATCAATGGCAGAAGGTTCTGGAAGGAAACTCATCGTGGAGGTTTGCAACGCCAAGAACTTGATGCCGAAGGACGGTCAAGGAACCGCGAGTGCTTACGCTATTGTGGATTTCGATGGTCAGAGACGGCGAACGAAGACGAAATCGAGAGATCTCAATCCTCAATGGGATGAGAGGCTCGAGTTCATGGTCCACGACAAAGACTCCATGGCTTCGGAGACGCTTGAGGTCAATCTCTACAATGACAAGAAGTCCGGGAAACGAAGTACTTTTCTCGGTAAAGTGAAAATATCCGGAAGCACGTTTGTGAAGTGCGGTTCCGAAGCGATTGTGTATTATCCGTTAGAGAAGAGGAGCGTGTTCTCTCAGATCAAAGGAGAGCTTGGCCTCAAGGTTTGGTACGTTGAGGAGGATCCACCGGAAACAGAGAATGCCAGTGACCAGAAAGCAGAATCAGCGCCGGCGGCGGAGGAGAAACCGCCAGAAAATTCGCAAGACGGAGAGAAGAAAGAAGATAAGGTAGAAGAGAAGAAAGAAGAGGAAAAGAAAGAAGAAGAAAATAAACCTAAAGAAGAATCGAAAGAAGAAGAAAAACCGAAAGAGGAGGCTCCGGCGGAGGTAACACCAGCGCCGGCAGTACCACAGCCTGAAAATTCAGCGATTGCACAAACGGAGAAGCCGAAGCAGCAAAAGGAGAAGCACGGCGAGTTGCAAAAGAGTGCTGATCTGAACGTGAGTGATCACGAACTGCGATCTCTGAGTAGCGATCGAAGCCGCAGCACTTACGATCTCGTGGATCGCATGCCGTTTCTCTTTGTTCGCGTCGTGAAGGCCAAGAGAGCCAAACCTGAACCCGGTTCTGTCGTTTACTCGAAGCTTGTTATTGGAACTCACAGCGTTAAGACTAAAAGTGAGAGTGAAAACAAAGATTGGGATCAGGTCTTTGCGTTCGATAAAGAAGGACTCAATTCGACGTCGTTGGAGGTCTCCGTTTGGTCAGAGGAGAAGAAAGAAGGGGATGAGAGCAGCGAGAATTGTCTTGGAACGGTGTCGTTTGATTTGCAGGAGGTGCCTAAAAGAGTTCCTCCGGATAGTCCTCTGGCTCCACAGTGGTACACTCTGGAGTCTGACTCTTCGCCGGGAAACGACGTCATGGTCGCCGTTTGGATCGGAACCCAGGCCGACGAGGCTTTTCAGGAGGCTTGGCAATCAGATTCCGGCGGGTTGATACCGGAGACCCGAGCCAAGGTGTACCTTTCTCCCAAGCTTTGGTATCTGAGACTAACGGTCATCCAAACCCAGGACTTGCAGCTAGGTTCGAGACCCGAGCCTAAGGTTAGGAATCCTGAGCTCTACGTGAAGGCTCAGCTCGGCGCGCAGGTTTTTAAAACAGGAAGAACCTCACCCGGCTTGGCTAACCCAACGTGGAACGAGGACCTCGTATTCGTAGCAGCCGAGCCGTTTGAGCCGTTTCTAGTTGTAAAAGTAGAGGACGTGTCAAACTCTAAAACCGTTGGCCAGGCAAAAATCCACGTGTCATCCATCGAACGGAGAACAGACGATCGAACGGAGCTGAAGTCAAGATGGTTCAACCTATCAAGCGAAGACGAGAGCAATTCGTATACGGGTAGAATCCACGTTAGAGTTTGCTTGGAAGGTGGATATCACGTGATAGACGAAGCTGCTCACGTGACCAGCGACGTTCGAGCGTCGGCCAAACAACTTGCGAAGCCTCCAATTGGTTTGCTCGAAGTTGGGATTCGCGGCGCCAGTAACCTTCTCCCGGTGAAGACCAAGGACGGGACGCGTGGCACAACAGATGCGTACGTGGTTGCCAAATACGGTCCCAAGTGGGTCCGAACCCGAACCATCATGGACCGGTTCAACCCACGATGGAACGAACAGTACACGTGGGATGTTTACGACCCTTGCACGGTGCTCACCATCGGCGTGTTCGATAACGGAAGATACAAGCTCAGCGAAGATGGAAAAACTAACAGAGATTGTAGGGGGGGGAAAATTCGTGTGCGGTTGTCCACACTGGACACCAATAGGGTGTACGTAAACTCGTATTCCTTAACTGTTTTGCTGCCAGGTGGCGCAAAGAGAATGGGGGAGATAGAGATTGCAGTGAGATTTTCATGCTCCTCATGGTTAAGTCTAATGCAGGCCTACGCAAGCCCAATTCTACCAAGAATGCACTATGTTCGACCATTCGGCCCGGCCCAACAAGACATCTTACGCCAAACAGCTATGAGGATAGTAACGGCTCGACTGGCCCGGTCTGAACCGCCTTTGGGTCAGGAAGTAGTTCAGTTCATGATGGATTCTGACACGCACGTGTGGAGCATGCGGCGGAGCAAGGCGAACTGGTTCAGGGTGGTGGGTTGTCTGTCACGTGCAGCGACGTTACTACGTTGGATGGATGGAATTCGCACGTGGGTGCACCCTCCAACAACGGTTTTGGTGCACGTGTTGCTTGCAGCGATCGTGTTGTGTCCTTATCTGGTGCTCCCTACTGTGTTCATGTACGCTTTCCTGATTTTACTGCTGAGATTCCGTTACCGGCAGAGGGCTCCACAGAACATGGATCCGAGAATGTCGTACATGGACATGGTGAGCCTCGACGAGTTGGACGAGGAGTTCGACGGGTTTCCCACCACGCGTCCCGCGGAGGTGGTTCGGATCAGGTACGATAGGGTGCGCGCGCTTGCGGGGAGGGCGCAGACCCTATTGGGTGACGTGGCAGCACAGGGTGAACGCTTGGAAGCGCTGTTTAGCTGGCGGGACCCACGCGCTACGGGAATATTTGCAGTGCTGTGTTTGGTGATGTCGTTGCTGTTCTACGCTGTGCCGTTTAAGGGCTTTGTATTGGTGGCTGGGTTCTATTACCTGCGCCACCCGAGGTTCCGCGAGGACATGCCGTCTATCCCCGCAAACTTTTTCCGGCGACTTCCGTCGTTTTCTGATCAGATTATGTGATGAACATACACCTCTTACTTTATTTAGCTGTTAGGGTCATACTTTTTTTTTTTTTGTGGATTTGTTGAAGTATTATTTATTTATTTATTCGTTTATTTATTATGGTTTGTGACTGTGTCAAATTGGTAATGCTTTTTGGGAAGGGGACACGAGCATAAAGTGAGCAAAAAAGTTGTTCTTGGTTTGCTGAATGAAAAGTGACCGTTGTGGGGTGGCAAGCAGCAAAGAAATTACAACGCCTTGAAGCTTTAATGAAATTGAAGAATTTAGACCGTTGATGCAGGAAAACTTGACCGAGTAAACGCTGACATTGCCAAATGTTAGAGAACTAGTTCTGTAATTGACCGTTTGCATATATCATCTTTTGTTTTCCCGTCCTAATTGAATATTAGTTGTTTTTCCTGTTTCATACAATCTTATTAATACATATTCTAAAATAATTAAATAAAAGGCTTATTAGGAGCGGATTATCAACTATCTTCCAACTATTTAATTTTGGGGCGGAGAACCTCCAGTTTCTCAAACAGAAGTTAGGATAAATCAATTGGTCACCATGTATCAGTTTTTAGTTGTGATTAGATGATCTAAAATTTCTCATACTTTTGGTTTGACTGTAGGAGGCATCAATATTGGTATTAGTTTCCCTTAAATTCCAATAATTCGTTCTTGATTTTACTAAGAAAAATATGAAACTATTCTCTTAATCATTAAAAATTAGTACATTGGTTGTTATTTATATATAATGAAAAAAAAGTGCAACAAACTAAAAACAAAATTGGATTTAACTTGTTTAATCCTATTACTGTATAACAAACTCCCTTTAAGTCTTAACTGTGACGTGTTGTGAATCTTTAGGAGTGGTGGATGAATTGTATAATACTCCTACAAGTTGGAGGATGGAAAATGTTAGCAATCCTAACTTAGCCAAGAACTCATTAAAAGGGCTTTAGGGACAAAGGCTTGGTGAGAAGTCTGCTATCTAACTTTCTGAAGAAATTGGCAAGAGATGCATCAATCCAACTTATGACTTCTCCCAAATTAAATAAAAGTCAATGTCAAGATGTTTGGTATATTCATGAAAAAATGGATTTGCGACAATATAAAGAGCACTTTGATTGTCACAATATAATATTGGTGGCTTGGAGCATTTCATCTACAAATCATGGAATAGATAGACAATCCATTGTAATTCACAAGTAGCTACAGATAAAGTATGATATTCTGCCTCAGATGAAAACTTAGAGACAGTACTTTGCTTTTTGCTTTGCTAGGAAATTAGAGATGAGCCAAGGAAGCATTGTCCCAAGATGGATCTACGGGTATTCATACGACCTCCCCATTTTGCATCACTGTAACAAAAAATTTGCAACAATGATGACCTTGGAAAGAATAGACCTCTGCCTTGTGAAATCTTTAAATATCTGAGGACTCTGTGAGCAGCATGAAAGTGACCATATGTGGGTCTTGACAAGAACTGACTAAGTTGTTGTGTGGCAAAAGTAATGTCAGGACTCAAGCCTCATAGTGATCAAATAGAATAAATGTCCAATTAAGCGATGGTAAGAAGGCACATCATCATACAATTTGCCTCCATCTTGGTACAGTTTCACTAAAGGATCTAAAGGAGTGCGAGTTGGTTTTGAACCAAGGAGACTAGAAACTTTCAAGAGATTAAGATAATGTTTATATTGACAAACAGATATTCCAAGCTGAGAATGAGAAACTTGGAGCCCGAAGAAATATTTTAGTTGACCCAAATGTTTGATCTTGAAAGAATCATTTAAAACTCCTTTGATATGGTTAAATTCTGCAAGTGAATCCCCTGCTAGTATGACACCATCAACATATACTAACAAAGCTATGACAGTGAAAGAAGTCTTCTTAACAAAGAGTGAATTATCTGAGTATGCTTGACTGAATCAATAGGACAATAATATGGTTGTAAGCCTTTCATACTAAGGTCTGCTTGCTTGCTTCAACCCATATAAACTTTTGGTGAGCTTGCAAACTTGATTAGTATAAGACTTAGATACACCTTGAGGAACTAGCATATAGACATCTTCTTCCAACTCTCTATGTAAGAAGGCGTTATTCACATCTAATTGATGTAAAAATCACCTTTTTATAGAAGAAACAGTAAGAAGTGTTCTCATAGTTATAATCTTAGCATCAAGAAAAAAATGTATCCAGATAATCTAGCCCTTCAATTTGTATATATCCTTTTGCTACTAAGCGTGCTTTGCAACACTCAATAGTTCCATCATCATGTCTTTTAATTTTGAATACCTACTTATTTCCAACAGGGATTACACCAGTAGGTAAATCATGTAAAACCCAAGTTTTGTTATCCTCAAGAGCCTGTATTTCTTCTTGCATAGTATTAATCAATCAAGGGAATTTGGAAGCCTCTTTATAGGTTCTAGGTTCAGTCTCATATAGCAAAGAAAAGGTAAAAGAATGATGTGAAGGAGATAGATGAGAAAAAAAAGTGAATTTACACAAGGAATAAGACATACCTGAGGAAGATTGATTCGCTGCACAAGTGGGAGTTTCACAGATGTAATCAACCAAGTGCGATAATGGATGTATGATCCTAGATAACTTTTTAAGTTCACAATCTGTTCGAATAGCAGGCTTATTTGGTAAATGTTGGTGGTTGGATTTGTAGGTGAATTGAGGGAAGGTTGATGTTGATCAAGTAGTTGATGGGGTGGTGATGGATCTCAATCAACAGGTAAAAGAATATGGTTATATGTATGTTGTAAAGGTTAGGGTGATCTATTTGGTTTTGTGTGTGGTTTTGTATAAGCCCATTTTAGGGAGTTTTGGGACTTACAAGGAAGTATTAACTCATAAAAAATAACATTTCGAGACACAAAAAGATCCTTAAAGTCAAGGTCCATAACAATATGGCCCTTGGTAGCGGGCTTATACCCCAAGAATACAGACACCCAAAAACACCCAAAAACTCTCATATTTTCCAAATTTGGTTTGCTTCCAAAAAATAGCTCTTAAGGGGAATGGTTGTGTAAATTTTGCTCAAAATTCTTTATAATGTATACAACATGTGTAACTGCATATCCCCAATATTGCTTAGGAAAATGAGTTTGATACCGTTAAGATGTCCCACATTGGTTAGGAATAGAGACAAAATACTCCTTATAAGGACTAGAGTAGTCCTCCTCCTATGAGCTAGCTTTTGGGAGTGAGTTAGGCCCAAATTTCTTAACATAGTATCAAGGAGCCTGGCAAAAGAGTAATCCTAATCCGTGCATTTTCGGTGGACCCATTGCTCGTTGGTTGAATTATTTTTTACTATTCACCATGTTCCAACGACTTTTTCGGATGGCGATTAGACCCCCAGACTCATCTCGCTCTAATGGTTCAAAATCTGCCCTCAATTTTTCGTTACGAGCCTTTGCTAAGTTGTTTCTTTTTTTTTTGTTGCAAGTGTTTTCTCTCTCCTCGTTGCAACCCATGGCAATTTCTGCTACTCCTAAAGCTAATGCATCCATTTTTACTAATTATATCACTGCCTCACTCTATATAGAGAAGCTTGACGGCTGCAACTATGATTCTTGGGCCTTTGACATCAAACTTTGGCTTAAGCGACAAGGCTACGCGGACCACCTTACGACCAAGGAAGATTTTGTCCACTCCACTTTGGTTTAATATGATATTAAAGCCTATTTAGTTTGAATGTTGGGCTACCTCCAAATATCCAGTCCTATTGGGTGCACCCATGCAAATGCTCAGTCCTGCAAATTTCACGCATCAAATGTCCAGTCTTGAGCGTGAATGGGTACGTTAAATGTCCCACATTGGTTAGGCATAGAGCTAGAATACTCCTTATAAGGGTTAGGGTAGTTCTCCTCCTATGAGCTAGCTTTTGGGAGTGAGTCAAACCCAAATTTCTTAACAGATACAACAATGACCTAGCCACATTTAAAATGTGCTGGTGTTTCTTTTCTACTCTTCCATTTTGTCTAGGACATTTTACAAAGGATGTTTGGTGTATAATTCCTTTTTTTGCATAAAAATTTGTCAAGATAAACTATGGACCATTATCATATTTTATTATTTTAATTCTTTTTTTAAATTGTCTTTCCAACATATGAACAAGGTTTTGCAAATGTGTGCTCACTTCATATTTGGACTTCATTAAAATAACCCACAAAAATTTGCTGTAGTCATCTAATGCAATAAGAAAGTACTTATGACCATGAACAAAATTTATTTGATAGTGACCTTATATGTCAAAATCCAACAACTCACAAATTTCAGAAGCTCTATTCTTACTCATCAAATATGGTAATTTCTTTTGGTTTCCAAATGGAAATATCACAAACAATATCCTTGTTAATAAAAATAATAGGATTAGTTTCTAGTCTCTTATGTAAAAGGTGCCCCCAACTTGAAATGCCACAGACTTGATTATGGAATACTTTGTGTTGTAACATTGTTGACCTGAACCTCTGTTATTTTCACTTGCATCTCAGCCTTCAGCAAGTACAAACCTCCCACTTGTTTAGCCAAACTAATCATCCTCACGGATTTCATATCCTGCAATTGACAGTTTTCAAACGAAAAACTTGTAAGACAATTAGAATTGTGACACAATTTTGACACAAAACCAAGGTTAAAAATAAATTCTGAGAGAAACAATACATTTGTCAAAATAAGGGTAGGAGAGAACACTATTGTATCAGAAAGTTTGGCTAATATTTTATGTTCATTAGGTAGAGTTACACTAACAGACTTAATTTCATGAAAGGTATCAAATAATATCAAGGAACAACATATATGATCTCTGGCTCTTGAATCTAATATTCAGGAGTTTGAATACTGATTCAAAGGACAAGTAAAATGCATATTTTACCTAAGGATGGATAGGAATGTGTAGGCAGGTTGGTGCTAACCTGATTGGATGTGTGGCTTGAAAAAGCCTACAAATTTGATTGTTGTATTAATGCAAGCAAGTTTTTATACTGTTCTTGAGT